TAAATTTGGTTTATTGCCTCCTAGGTTAATTCATTTGACAAGTTTCAAGATTTGAAGGACAAAGGTGTTCTTTGCTCTAAAAGATCCTATAACCGGATATATTAATTCCATTCATATCATAATAAAGTTGTTGAAATTTGATCCTATGTATGATTATCATCAATGCAAAACATGATTGATAATTATAAACTGCCCTTCAAAAACCATGTTCAGAGCTTTGTAGTAAACAGTATAAGCTTATCATCCTTCAATATGGCATTAAATGAGCCTAGGTGCAAATATATGTATTTTTAGACTGTAATCTCTGTTTGATGTGCAATATTGTCATGGAAATCAATCATATTTTGAGCACAGTATTGTGTACAAGACTATAGCCTTAGAATTGATATGAGGTTGTATATAGCTATAATTCTAGTGTTATTAGGTAAATGAGAATCCAGATAGTATTACTCCAACTTTAATCTTTATATGTAAGGTAATTTACATTGTATAATCTTATTCTGAAGTGCTGCCATGGAAAGCTAACCTGCCCTCCATCATGAAAATAATGAGATCATTCTGTCTTTTGGATTACTTTAGCTGAGCGAAACCTAGAGAACCAACCCTACATTAATTATTGTTAACTGAAGCTCTGTAGGACTGAATCAAGTGTTTCTATTTTTATTCTTTATCCTTTAGTGTTTTATTTTCCCTGCTTTTTCTTATACACATGAATTATCCTTCTCTACAGAGAAGACTCTAAAATGTAATATCTAACAGCTGTTTAGTGCAGATACAAACAGAAACCATTCTAGGAACGGTGAGCTAAAATAAGGAGGATGGTCATAATGAATGGAAAAAGCTTGAAGCAGTATTCCTATGTGGCATCTTTGCTGAGAGATGCTATTCAGAATCCATCTCACAAACAACATCTGGCAAAACCAAAGATTCAAAGATATATATATATATATATATATATATATATATATATATATATATATATATATATATTTGTTTTCTGAGGTTTTCACGGGTATTTGTATATAGGTCTTTGGTTGTTCGGGTTTTCTCCCACGTAAAATTGGAAGTGTCTTGGCGACGTTTCGACGAAGTCTCATTCGTCATCTTCAGGCTGGTGCTTTCAGCTTCATGCTTTGAGCAGCAATGTGTGGTCTTGGCTGTTTATTCCTTTAAAGGAATAAGTCCACAGTAACAGGGGCTTCCATACAAGTGGGGGGAGTATTCAGGCCAATGGGGGTGAGGTCTCTAAGGTTGTTGGGTTGCCTCAACAGGATGGAGACGTACTTTCCGTGTATGAGGCAACCCAACAACCTTAGATAGTACGAGTGCTTGCAGGGTGTTTGTAATAGGATCTCGGAATAGAGAGCAGGAACATGATGGTGATGGATGTCGAAAGGGTGGAGGGGGAGAGAGACCCATCTGTGTAGAAGGTTTTAAGGGAGAAGACGGGGAGAAGCAACTTGGTGATAATGATCACACACTGGATTGTAGAAAGGCTATGTGCCCTCTTAAATCACAGATGCAGAGAGGTGGGAAAGTGAAAGCTAGTACGCATGTAGATGGGGAGAATGAGGACAAACTGAGCAATTGACACAGGTGCAACGATTGGCCGGTTGGGAGCTGTTACGCGGTCCAGGAGTCGAGCGCAGGCACTGGCTTGTTTATAAATGTCTCTCCCACTGATTCATTTGCACCCTGATGATGTTGGCAGGAGCCAACGAAAGCTGGGTCTGCTTTTTAAAAAACTTTTAAATGTTTTATATTTAAACTTTTAACGTTTTATAAAACTTTTAATGATTTAACTTTTCCTGGTGCTCACATTTTATTTCTTAGTATGCATACACCCAGGAATCACTCTTTTATTTTTACCGTTATTTTTAAATATATATATATATTCCACCAATAATGGACTGGTCATGAGTAGGTGACATAATATGAATGGAGTAAGATGTGAAAGTATAGAAAAAATAAATCAGTCATTTAGAGAGCCAAAATAAATGAGAATCATGATTGGTATGTAAGTATCTGCCTATGAAAAGATATATTTGTTTCAAACACACAAATACTACTTAAGGTGCAGAAAACATGGTCTTTATATAGAGGGAGTGCTGGTGTGGTTCAACTAATTTAGCTGTGTTGAAATCCTAAAGGGAGGGGAGACAAAAAGGTAAGGATGGGTTTATGCTAATTGCTGCAAGGTTCTCCTTGCTTGGAATATGAGGGTATCAGAGTTTTTCAATATGTGAAATCATATTATTTGTTAGTATCAAGAATAGAGGTCTGAAAACAATAGGCAGGAAAGAAAAGTACTGAAAGAAACATGACTAAAAGTAACATTAAAACAAAAAGTGGGGGGAGGGATAATAAAAAAGAGAAGATACAGGAAATCTCCCAGCAGAATGAATGGAATGTGGACAGAGAGGAAAGATAATACAGAGTAAAAATAATTATAAGTATCAGAGTAGTATGTCGAGTTCTGCTAATAAGAAATAAAGTGCTATCTCGGTATTCAATATTAATTGGTTCTGGGAAGCATGATGGGTACTAAAAACAATGAGTGCCAAACAAACTAGGTGACTTACCATGTGATCCTTTGTTTTGGCTGGGAAAATTTTTTGACTGCTGTTTTTCCTGTTAGTGTCCTTCCCAGCATGGCAACTTTCCTGTCATCCCTCTGCGGCTATCTCCCTCTTCCTTTTGTAGTGCGCCAAATACCAAAGAAAGTACAAATATTTTCACATCAAAATGCGTTGAGTACCAAATTCAACAAGTTTTGAACCCATTGAATACCAAGGTACCACTGTATATATATAAAAAAGACTCTTGCTGGATTAGTGAGGTGAAATAGATTGTGGATGAGGAGGAAAAATACCCATAAAAAAACCATACAAAAATGAAGACAAAGAAAGATATTCTATAATATGTATAAAGATAAAAACTATAGTCCTAAAACCATGGTTAAAGGAAGTACTGAATGTCTAAGATAGAGACAAAATAGCAGTTTGGAAAATTAGGAAGAAAAAAAGTTAGAAAATAGGTGAAAAATAAATTAGCCAAATGTTTAGACTGGCTGTAGCATTTTTGTCCACCTAACAAGACCTTCTCAAGGATCCAAGATAGGCAGATATTTTTGTTAAAAGTGTTAAAGGTGTTGTTGTCACATAATATAAGCTGTTCCAAGTAAAGCTGTCTTTTACTATTAACTGATGGTGGTTTTGTCAACGCCAATGGTGTTCATGGGGGGGGGCTTCCAGTTCCTTTAGAATTGCCTCCTAAGCCCCTATTACTATTAGTACAAATTTTGCCTTCTTTTGCCACAATCATTCTACTACTATTTTCAGGTCTTTGTATTGTGTGATTCCCCCCCCCCCCCCCCCAGTTCTTTCTCTTCTATACTGTTTTCTCCAGATGTTTCTGCAACATCTATTATTCAGACTTATTTGTCTTTCTTATCAACAATTGTTAAGTTTTGAGTGTTATACGGCAGGTGGTCGTCTGTTTGAATTTTTAAAATGCCAGGGCACTTTAGCATCTTCATTTTCCATTACTTTGTCTATTTTATGGTCCCACCAGTTCTTGCTTTTAGGCAAATGGTATTTCTTGCACAACTTCCAATGCACTATTGTCATGCCATTATTTGTAAGCCTGTGCAGTCTTCTTACAGTAGCTAACTAAGTGATCCACTGCTTCTTCAGTTTCTTTGAAGAGGCAGTATTTGCTGTTCTGACTTTGTATATATTGTTCTTAAGGTTTAATTTTCCGCAGCCAGAATTAGTGCCCCTGTCCTTTTCTTCAGCTTTCCTGCTTTTTAGCCATTGCCAGGTCTTGTTGTTATCTGTTTTGCCTGCTATTTTTTTTAATGTACTGGCCACATCATATTTTGCCTTGCCATGTCTGTTTTCTATTCTTCATTTAGTCTTTCTTGTGGGTGCTTCTAGTACCCAGTAAGCCTTCTTTATTGTTCTGAGATAGTCTTCCAATGACCTTTCTTCTTCTTCAACTGTCTGGTGTATTTGAACATACCACAGCCACCTATTTTCCTTGGTAAGTAGAGTCTGTCAACATCATTGCATTGATTAATTATTTTTCTGTTCTTCCTATCCAGGGCTTTTAGTTCTGCTTGAGTCCAGACCGGTATTCCATCTGTGTATCTAATGACTGGAACTTTCCAGGTGTTAATTGCCTTAATGGCATTTCCTCCATTGAGTGTGGATTTTAAGATCTTCAGTCTCATGATGTATGTACTTCTAACCCTCTTCTTAACTTCAATCTGCTTCATGTTGTCATCCTGAGGGATACCCGGGTATTTGTAATGATCTTAATCCAGACTCTTAATGTTATTTCCATAGGTCATTTTGATTCTTTCAATTTTCACAATTTTTCCCCTGTTGATGGTGAGGATGGCACATTTGTCCAGTCCAAACTCCATCACAACATCTTGGCTGAAGTTATATTGGCTCAATTCTGAAGATATATGGAAAAACACAATCTTTATCATTGTTATCATTTTAACTTGTATGCCACCCAACTTTCAACAATTAAAGAAATTACAACCAAATTAATAAATTATAAAAGTCAAAAATAAAAATGAGCAAGAGCGATGAAATATCAGCATAAGTATAAAGTCATGGGAATGTAACTCTAACGGTATTCAAACTATGTATAGATGGGCTGAATTGTATAAAAGAAACGTGGTTCAAACCTATCATATTAAAACTATGTCTAAGTAGCTTTGATAAAATGTTAATAACCTTTTAAACCATTCAAGTACCACATCCTAATATTACTCCTTATCTGAATACTGTAGATTTACCAATATTTCCATCAATATTGTATACACATCCACAAGAGAGAGTAAAATTCTTGCACTCCAAAAAGCAAACTTGCATTTTCAAACTTCAATTTCTTCCAACTACTAATATCCATTCATAACAATCAGGATGGAAATAAAGAGCACTGCTTTATAACATTGTAACACATTTATGTAGGTGTCATAATTCATGAATTTAAACAGAAGTTTGGATCACTTCCAGTTTAACGTTCTGAAGTTAAAGTTTGCAGCTGGTAACTTCCAGCATAATGTGTTAGATGCATCTCCTAAAGCTGTGAATTGGAGGAACAACATTTTGGCTATACTTTTTCATCAGAAAGCATAATTTAAGCGGTTTAAGGTCTGAGGGCAAAACATCAGAATCACTTTATGTGGACACAGCAACATAGCTAGCTTCATAAATTTTGTTGCAGAGAGCAATAATCAATACTTCATGTTTAATGATGCAAAACTGAAATTAGTATAGATTTTATGCCTTCTGCTCTTCCAAATTATTACAAACTTTAGTAGCACTTTCTGTAGTTGCTCTATTACCATTTTCCATAAATAACAAGCCAATAATATTTAAATGAATGATTGAATGTTACAGACTACTTTTTTAAAAGAAAAAAAACTTTTTGTTAAGTATTTAGCCTTAGGTTTATATAAAATAATGTCAAACACATAAACAAAATGATTTATGGGAGTCTTGCAAGTTTTGTTACCCTTAGCCATATAAAAAGGCAATTGTAAATTGTTTCCACATTCTAAATTACCTTATGTTGCTTTGGGATATACTGAAAACAAAATTGACCCCTAGAGTACTTTGGAAAATAGAAAGTGTTACTTTTAGATTCGAGCATCCTATTGGAAGAATTTTTTCAGGAAAATGTGGGGAGTTATCTCAGTTTACACATGCAAGAAAAAAAGGAGGAATAGATTTTTGAAGAAGGTTGGAATGAAAGATGAATGCGATTACAGGATCTTATTTCAAGTTGCTGTTAAATGGATTGAGAATGCTATGTATTTAAAATATAACATTTTCATTGTTTTACTGCAAAATGAGTAAAATGGGCATGAGTTCAGAAAATAAGAAAAGGTTGGAAAAAATTCTACACATTCTGACTGACCTACACAAAGGTTATTGTTATAATACTGATCATCTCTCTGGAACAATTGTAGAACAAACGTGGCATTATTAATACTACTGTAATGGACTGCAAAGTTATTGCCGGTTTTTAAAATATTGAGTAAGAAAACTAAAATATACTAAAATACAGGACTTATTTTCATAATTATTTTTGGGAAGAAAGTTTCAAAGTTTAATAAAATGTTTGAGGGAATATTGTCCTTCAACCCTCTCTATTAGTTTTGTATTCAAATATTATACAAAATACTAACCCAGATGGTTAGAGTCTTCCATCTATCTGAAAATAATGATTATGAGTTCAAGCTAATTTAGTCAATTGGAGAGTAATATTTACTAAATTAAGCTAATATTTTAATATCTGCTGTTTGTTTCTCTACAGGAAGAACTCAAAAGACTACAGCATACCTTGGAGCAAGTTAGTGATGGAAAATATTTACTTGAAAAGTAAGTACATTTTTAGATTTCCGTATTAAAGTCCTGCACAAGTTTTAATTAACTTTTGCTTAGATTAAGGAAGAGTTTAATCAACTACAGTCTGAATAAGTGTCAACATCTAATTTGTAGAATAAGATAGAATTTCATTTAATTTCTTGTAAGTTTAATTTCTAGTCCAATCTCCGTGAACAGAAGAAGACCTCCAAGGTCGCTTTCAGCTCTATTCAGATTATGATGTAAACTTACTTCCTTGATGTCACACATTTACTCCCATGCAAAACAAGAACTGTAAATCCCTCCATCAATGAATTAATGAATGAATAAACGAATGAATGAATCAATCAATCAATCTACTTGTCTATGACAGAAGTGTATACTGTAGATAGATCCCTGTTGCAATGCAATCTAAAAATTAAGAAAATGAGAGCTTGGGAGGAAGAGGAGAAGCATTTGTGGCTATTTCAATAATACCAATAAGGAACAAAAAAGGTGCTTGTGCCAGTGGCTTCAGGGGAAAAAGGGTCTTAGGGAAGGATTTGTTGAATTTTAAGGGGAAAGGTATCCTGCATCCGCTGTGGATGGCATAAGGGAAAATAAAAATGAAAAGGTATTTATTTATTTTTTTGAAGGAATTGAAGATCTTTAGATGATGGTAAATCATAAAACGAACATCGGTAATAGATGAACAGGCGAATATAAAAAGCCTAAAAATTGTGAGAAGGTGCAAAGCTTTCATGATAGAGACAACTCAATTAGGGAACAGGGAGTCAAAGTAAGGATTTAGGAACATCACCAGTTTGCAAGTGATTCACAAATTAAATTAAGGGTGCCCTATTGCTAGAGGTCTTTATATAGTCCCCAGAATCCCTAGAGCACTGTTTGCTAAGTATGTCACTTTAATGGCAGTGCTGGAGGCACTTCATATATAGACATCATCAGTTTAGCAATTATACGTTATACATAGTCCAAGCCATCCTTATTAAAACAGTAGTGTTAAATAAGTCAAAACAAAAGGTCCATGTCATTGGAAGACTGGCAAATTAGTTTGCTCTTATTTGTGATTTTGGGGGGGGGGAGACTAATATTTTGTGCTGAGGAAAGCTATTTTAAAGTAAGCAGGTTCAATATGTTTTGTTTCAAAGTGGATAAGAAGGAATAGATTATACTGATTATTAATAGATTATTCTTTTTTTAACAGCCATCAGCTTGCTATGGACATGGACATGGAGAATAATATTGAGAAATATCATATCAATTTACAGCCCTTGGAATCAAAAGTGAAAGTGTAAGTGACCTAAAATAATTTGACAGTTACAATATTACTTGACTTCAGGGGATCCTGTAGGCCTGGCCGACTGACTTCAGCATATCAGTGCCTTCATTGTTATTTAAATATCAGGTAAACAAAAAAATGACAAGGAGAGCAGATCAGGGCCCATTCAGATTCCAAAAACTAACAGTTCTGCACGATAATGCAATGTGCAACTTAGGAAGAGATTTTAGTGTGGCTCATTGATTTCAGAACAAAGAAAAAATATTGAAAGAGTCAGGATGGGCCTGTCTAAGACGTGGCAGTATGATATAGCCCTCATCTTGCATTTTAATCACAGGGATGCTGATCATATAATATCAAAATATTTTTGTGATGTAGCTTTGCACAAAAGATAAACTGTGAAGGAAAGAGAATCGTTTCATTTTTTTGACATTGTGGAGTTAGTTCACAATATCCAAGGAGCAGAATAGGATTTCCCTCTCTTCGATTCAATCCCCCCAGATATTTTTGGAGGCATGTCTCAATACCTTTCAGCTGAGTTGGAGAGGGGCCAAAGGCTAATCACATCAGTCTGTTGCAGAAAAACAACAATGCATCATTGGCGCAGTTTTCAGAGAGTTACGAGCAGCTGTTGCTTCTTTGAAAATGTTCTCTCAATTACAACAAGTATGTTGTCATACAGAACAGTAGTATGTACCTGGCCATTTCTACCTTGCTCTTGTTTTGATTTCATTTGGTCTTGCTTTAAGGCAATAGGTAAAGCCAGAAATAAATAAATGCTTTGACAACTTCACAACCAAATATAGGTATCATATGCTTCCACCACTTCCATGGAATTTATTTGCTTCTTTGAATATATTTTAGTCTTTATAATATTTTTGGTTATGGTTTGATTTTTGTGTGTCTGAAAGTCACTGTTATGTCATTGAAAATAAGAACTTCTGTAAGATGGATCCATAGCTGGCTGACCGGCCGTACTCAGCATGTGGTCCTCAATGGAACCGCATCTACATGGAGAGAAATGTGTAGTGGGGTGCCCCAAGGTTCTGTTCTGGGCCAAGTGCTCTTCAACATCTTCATCAACGATTTGGATGAGGGGATAGATGGGGAAATCATCAAATTTGCAGACGACACCAAGCTGGTAGGAATAGCCAACACTCCAGAAGACAGGCTTAGGATACAGGAGGATCTGGACAGACTTGAACACTGGTGCTATCTAACAAAATGAAATTCAATGGTGAAAAAAGTAAGATTACATTTAGGCAAGAAAAACCAAATGTACAGGTATAGTATAGGGGGTACTTTGCTCAATAGTAGTAACTGTGAGAAGGATCTCAGAGTCCTAGTGGACAATCACTTAAATATGAGCCAGCAGTGTGCTGCAGCTGCCAAAAAGGCCAACACAATGCTGAGCTGCATTAACAGAGGGATAGAATCAAGATCACATGAAGTATTAATACCACTTTACAATGCCTTGGTAAGGCCACACTTGGAATATGCATCCAGTTTTGGTCACCACAATGTAAAAAAGATGTTGAGACTCTAGAAAGAGTACAGAGAAGAACAACAAAGATGATTAGGGGACTGGAGGCTAAAGCATATAAGGAAAGGCTGCTGGAATTGGGTATATCTAATTTAATGAAGAGAAGGACGAGGGGGGACATGATAGCAGTATTCCAATATCTCAGGGGCTGCCACAAAGAAGAGGGAGTCAAGCTATTTTCCAAATCACCTGAAGGCAGGACAAGAAGCAATGGATGGAAACTAATCAAGGAGAGAAGCAACCTAGAACTAAGGAGAAACTTCTTGACAGTTAGAACAATTAATCAGTGGAACAGCCTGCCTCCGGAAGTTGTGAATGCTCCAACACTGGAGGTTTTTAAGAAGAGATTGGACAGCCATTTGTCTGAAATGGTATAGGGTTTCCTGCCTGAGCAGGGGGTTGGACTAGATGACCTCCAAGGTCCCTTCCAACTTTATTATTATTATTAAGTCTTGGGATTTTTGTGATGGGAAAACAAGTTATTAACTTTTAAAAATTATGATGGTCAGCAATTCAAACACTGTTCCAGAGATATATGGGGTAGATAATAATAATAATAATAATAATAATAATAATAATAATAATAATAATAATAGTAGTAGTAGTAGTAGTAGTAGTAGTAGTAGTAGTAGTAGTAGTAATAGTAATAATAATGGGAAAGCAGATAATAACAAGACCTGGCAATGGCTAAGAGCAGGAAAATTGAAGAAAGAGACCGAGGGACTAATTCTGGCTGCACAAGACTAAGCCTTAAGGACAAATGCATATAAAGTCAAAATTGAGAAGACAGCAACAGACAGTAACTGCCGCCTATGCAAAGAAGCTGAAGAAACAGTGGACCACCTGGTAAGCTGTTGCAAGAAAATTGCACAGACTGACTACAAGCAGCGGCATGACAAAGTAGCAGCAATGGTGCATTGGAAGATCTGCAAAAAATATCATTTGCCTGTAAGCAAAATGAGATCATAAAATAGAGAAAGTCATAGAAAATGATAAAATTAAACTGCTCTGGGACTTCAGAATTCAAACAGACAAGCACCTGCAACTTAACACCCCAGACTTAACAATTGTCGATAAGAAAGACAAAAAAGTCTGGATAGTGGGCGTGGCAGTGCCTGGAGGCAGCAGAATAGACAAGAAAGAACTGGAGAAGATAACAAAATACAAAGACCTACAAATAGAAATAGAAAGACTGTGGCAAAAGCAAGCAAGGGTAGTACCAATAGTGATAGGCTCCTTGGGTGCAATCCCAAAACAACTGGAGCACCACTTGAACACCATTGGCATTGACAAATTCTCTATTAGTCAATTGCAAAAGGCGGCCTTACTAGGAACTGTTTCCATCCTGCGATGATATCTGTAATACCATCAAACATCCACATCTGCCTATCCCAGGTCCTGGGTAGGACTCGATAGGTAGACAAAATGCCAAATCCAGTCTGAACATCTGGCTGATTGTGCGATGATCAATAATAATAATAATAATAATAATAATAATAATAATAATAATAATAATAATAGAGTTGTAAGGGATCTTGGAGATCTTATAGTCCAACCTCCTGCTCAGGCAGGAAACCCTATACCAGTGGTAGGCAACCTTGGCTCTTTTAAGACTCGTGGACTTTAACTCCCAGAATTCCCAGCCATGCTGGCTCAGGAATTCTGGGAGTTGAAGTCCACGAGTCATAAAAGAGCCAAGGTTGCCTACCCCTGCCCTACACCATTTCAGACAAATTGCTGTCCAGTCTCTTCTTAAAAACTTCCAATGTTGGAGCATTCACAGCTTCTGGAGGCAGGTTGTTCCACTGATTAATTGTTCTATTTTTTATCCTTTATTTGCAATGAAGAAGAAGCAGAGAAACGGCATAAGAATTTAAAGAACTGCATTAGAATATCATAAGGCTATTTTCTGGAAGTTCTCTTCAGATAAGTATTCAGTTGTAATGTAAAGAGCAATGTTTTGAATTAAATACTATACTTCTCACAAAGCTATTCAAAATCCAAAGCTTCTTTGATATTACACTGCCACCTGGTGTTTGTAGATATCCCACTCAGCAGATGGAAGCTTCTTTCCCAGAACAGCAAAAAGGATAACAAGAATACAAGAAAAAATAGAAAACAAATATATTTTTATTTCTATTTTATATAACTGTATATGAAGAAATTCTGTCTAAAATCAAAGCAGTTTGTTCTGCAGTGTTTGGGAAAAAAAACAGATTTTTGTCCGGCCAAGACTGTAGAAAGGTATTGGAAACAACAGTGGGGGTGCACTAATTGAAACATACAGATGTTTCTTGTTGAAAAGTTTATGAATCCATATTATTTTGTGGAAGATAAAAATATCAATGGCTCCTAGTTGTAATGCACACATGAAGGCTGAATGAAAAGTAATGCCCTCAGGATTATAGATTACAAAGATATAGCACTATGGACAAACTAAAAATGTTGACATCTTTAGCATCTGTTCTTTCACCTCAGTTGATGGGAAGTTGTAGTGATAAAAGATTCTGTTGCTATTTGTGAAATGAAAGCTTCAAGTAAGTACACTTCAAGCAGTCTGTTGTGATTAAACTTTTGTCTGCCAAAGTAAAGAAAATGACCACCAAATATAGATTGTTTGTGGTGATGACTCTGTTGATATGACTAGGCCACAAACAGGGCCAAAAATGATGAACTTCAAAGGTATATGACAACAACCAATAAGTTTCATATGAGAAAGCTTGATGAACTGACAATTCACAATTTATTCAAAATGCATTTGAAAGAGACACGGGGTCACATTATTTATATTGTTCAATACTGGTTGATTATGTAGGTTGGATGCCTTTTACTGTGATGATAGATAAAACTTCCAAGAATTGAAATTTGCCGATAATTTTTGTCATGCCAAAACAATGAAGGTGAGAAATTTCTTCACAGAATTGTGATAACCAATAAAACATTGGTTCATCTTTATGACCCAGAAACAAAGCCTCACTCCATGGAATATTAACACAATGCCTTGCAATCATCATTGTCATCATCATCATTATTATCATCATCATCATCATCCAGCTTCAGCATGAAAACTCATGGTTAGTTTTTGGGAATGCAGATGCTGCTATTCACATGGATTTCTTTGAATATGACATCAGTATGAACTCAGTGCTACAAAACTTTAATTCAGAAGCACAAGAAGGACATTTTCTCTCCAAAGGACCATGTTAGACAGAAGGAAAAAATGAACTTCGATCTCACCATCTTACCCATCCATTTGAAGAGATGGTCAGGGCTGCCAAGACCTGACTAGTGACAGAAAGCATAGAGTTTTTTCACAACAACTTTATGAAGCTTGTCCATCTTGGACAGAAGTGTGTAGCAAACAGTAATGCTTATGTGGAAAGGTAAATACAGGTAACCAAAGAGCTAATTTCAAGGATTATTTTCTGGTTTCTTTTATTAAAAAATCTCTATAAAGTAAAGTTATAGAAATGGAAGCACTACTTTTCATTCCAACCACATATCTTTCTTGTTCTACCAATAGAATATGCCTCTGAATACCAGCTGTTGTTAGGAGAAAATGCTACACTCACATTTTGTTTTTCACAAGCATCTGGTAGCCACTGTAGGAACCAAATGCTGAAGTAGGTCGGCTTTTACTTTAATCTAGCACATCAGTTTTTTCTATCTGTTCAGATTAAGATTTTTTTTCTTTAATGCTTTATCAAAAAAGTGAATGGAAATGTTCATTAAATATCTTATCTGAAGTTAGCTGTAAGTGAATTTAGTAAGACATTTGGGACTTTCTATGTAAGACTTCATATTTAATTTATATGATTAATGTTCCCACTGTGATATACTCTAAGTATATAATTTTAAACCCTGGACTTTGATTTTAAAATATATTCATTTATTTAAAATTGTATAGAGAGTACTTTGCTCCTTCCGCAGGTTCTCCTGATCATTTTACAAGCTAGGCTCATGAACTTTTACCCCAGAGACTTGTTCTGATAAATTCCTCCTTCACTGGGGGAAACACCACCTAGGAATCATTACTGGATGAAGCTTTTTAGGGGAAAATATGTCTTTAATACAGCATTCAAAAGAGAAATTTTTAAGAAATGTATTTCCCATAGCGTGCAAAAATCTTGTTTCGGTTTTAGAAGGGTTGCCTTTCAGAATGGATGTCTAGAGAAATGCAGGAATATAAAATATATGCTCGTATTCATCCATCTTTCAAATTTCATATAGCATTCAAAGAGCATGGCGTGAATATCTCCAACGTCAAGATACACAGAGTCAGAACCATTTAGAAAAGCGCAGTCCTTCACCACCTTCCTTGTCATCTGGCAAAATGAGCAGCTCTATCAGTATGAACATCTTTTCGGATGACAGTACACCTGTGAGTACATTTGTCCCTCCCAGTTTTAAACTTTTTAAATGTCCAGTTTGGACTCACCTTCACAGTAGCTTTTTTATTATGCTTCGGTTATTTGCTATATCTGCAGATTTTGCACACTTGACTTTCATATTCACACTTTACATTAGTGACTGCGGTCATGCAAAAGCAGAAATCTTGCAAATATCAATGCAATATTTCTGCTGATGCTTCATATTCTGGGGGGGGAGGGGTAATAGCCCTATTTGTATTGTGACTATCAACATTTTTACAAACTAGGTCAATTGTTTAAGAAAGTCAATTCACAGAACATGCAATTTGTTTTCTTCAGTGATCAACTGCTCTGTCCATATTTTACTTTCACCATATATCAAAGAAGTAAAACATCTGTTATGGAAATTAAAAAACAAATATGAATGAAACCTTAAGTAGAAATTGGAACAAACAGTATGGCATGTCCCTTACTGTGCTTTTCATGTTTAAAACTGTCTGCCCAAATTACAAGATGGCAATCAGCCTGACATAACTATTGCTTTCTTAAAATAGATTGCATTTTTTTCCACAAATGCATTTACAGTATCCCTAAGCAACTGCAATGTCAAATAATGGCTTGCATGGATAGAACAGAAATCAAATAGACTGATTGGGGCTTGTGAATAGAAGTAACATTTCACTGATGCTGTTGGATCAACCTATCAAAATGAAGCCTACAATGCATGCATACTGTAGGTTACAGACATACATAATGGAGACATACATAATGGAGAAAACTGCTTTCTTTACATTCATGGCCAGATCTGATCCTGTATTTATACTCCAAACTGTCCTAATGATTTTATGCTTGACAAACTTGCTGATGTTTCACATTTCAGTGAAATAGACATATTTCAGAAGCAAATCACACTACATTAGAAACTACATAAAATCCATACATAAATTAGTATTAATAGCGCATCAGTTAAAACTATTGTTTTAACGCAGGGGAGGTCAAACTCGCAATGTCAGGTGATGTGTCGCGATGTATCGTGATTTTTTTCCATTGCCAGCAATGGGGTGGGTGTGTTTTTGCCATGATGCATCTGGCCTGCGGGCCGGCAGTTTGACACCCCTGTTTTAAAGGATCCTTATATCTATATGTTGTCCCAAAATGAATTTAATTGCTATGTAATATTGAAGATATAAATGTAAATATTAAGCTGATGGTATAATTAAGTCAATGATTGGATCCTGTTAATAAACAGAAAGTAAGGGAAAGCACTGAATTTTCAAGCAAATCCTATATGTGAGATTTATTTCTGAAAAATACCCAGTGATATACATTTCATAGGGGGTACAGTATCTACTTTTAGTGTGGTCTAGCATTTATTAAAGTATAAAAACATTTTGTGAATGGATTTAGCTGCAGTTGAAACTAGCTGAGTTATTTCATATCTTTTTAGGGTCTGCTACTTGTGAATGCTAACAGTAATTTGATCCTCTCTCCAAAGCATGCTCCTTTTTTAGGGATTATTCAGGGTGTTTTTAAAAAAAAGAACAAAACTTTTAAACAGTTCAGAAAGAGGAAAGGAAACAATACTTTTGATTTGATTTGGGTTTGTGACTTTATTGCATTAATAGATTGCATGTCCCATATATGGTTTTTCAAGAGGCAACTAGACTTTTTTGTTTTTATTTGAAGATGGTTCATTTCTCATCCAAGAAACTTCTTCAGGTCTGACTGGATGGTGGGGAATGGAAGAATTTATATTCCTTGCAGACAGATGGTCATTTGATTCTTTTAGAGAATTGTTGACGCCACTTGGAGGTTTATCTGTGCCCTCAGGGTCACCTGAGTAGTGCAAATGGGTGTGGAGCCTTGTTGGAACTGCTGAAAAGACTGTGTTGTAGACTAGAGATAGATAATGTTGTATGCCTCCCCCTCTATTGAGAGAGAGCTGTTCAGTTTTGACATAGATGGCCTCTTTGACCTTCTTTCAAACCAGCAGTGATCTGGATGACTGAGAATCTCCATAGATATTTAGCTATGATAAATTGCATTGATTTTCAGCCAATATCTAAAAAATATTGAGAGTGAAGACAATATTAACTGGTCATTCTTATTTGGCATGATGATGTTATGTACTCACATCTGATGACACTGCATAGTAAACATTCTCTCTCTCTCTTTCTCTCTCTCTCTCTCTCTCTCTCTCTCTGTCACACACACACACACACACACTTACACACAAACACACACCCAAAACACTCACTCACTCACTGGTCCTGGTTATGTTAATGGAGATATCTCATTTCTTCCTCTGCTACAAGTAAATTACTATCTGATATTCATCCAGTTTCAGATCAAAGAATTTAGAATTTACTGGATTGTAGAATTTGGCAAGTGTATTTTGCTATTTCTGGATTTTTTTTTTCTGGAAATCCACCATGCCTCCTCTTCTGAGTTTCTTATATTCAGAGCTTTAAATCCATCTTAACTTCACATGTGCCGAAATTGGGACAGAGAATGCAATTTTGTTACATAAAAGCTCTAGGACATATTTGACAAATATCTGGGAATTCCATCTAAGCTGAAATGGGAATGTCAATATATTCACAAAACTGGATGAAATGTAAGCAGGACACTTGTATATGAAATAGTAAATATGTAATATGTTTAATAAGCATCTCATATTTACCTTCCCACAGGAGAAAATGTTAGCATTGGCCCTACTGCTATGAAGAATAATCTTAAGCGTTTATCCATGCTAGTTTCCCTTAGACATGTTAGCTGCATGTGTTGATTCCATCTATAGTTATTAAACAGTCTGCTTTGCTTTACTCTTGTTTAATCGTTTAATAAAATTATGTCTTGTTAATCTCAGTTACTGCCTTTCTCTCATTATTTCTTTATATATATATATATAAAGAAATAATGAGAGAAAGGTAGTAACTGAGATATATATTGAATAAATATATAAATTGAGATAAATAATGAGACAAAGGCAGTAACATATATATATATATATATATATATATATATATATATATATATATATATATGTAGGTCTTTGGTTGTTCGGGTTTTCTCCCACGTAAAATCTTCAGGCTGGTGTTTTCAGCTTCTTGCTTTGAGCAGCAATGTGTGGTCTTAGCTGTTTCTTTCTTTTAACTGCCAGTGGGGGTATGAACTGATTGGGTGGGAGCTTGGCTGTGTTCTGATTGGGTGGAGGTGTGTTCTGAATTGTTAGGGGCTTGGCTGTGCTCTGATTGGCTGGGGGAGTGTTCTGTTTGGTTGTGCTCAGGTTAGTCTGAGTTGCAGAGGGGTTTAAGATTTTGGGGTTAGGGAGTCGTTTGTCAATAAGGGTGGGTTTCCAAATGGCTGGTAGGCGGGAGGTATCATCTCGCTTGTTCATGCTGTGTGGGCTTTTTCTATCTCGATGGCTTCTCTGATTATTCTGTTATTAAAATGTTCACTTTTGGCAATGGTTCTGGTATTTACCTAGCCAAATTTCTCGCCAAACAACTAAAGCCCTATGCAGAATCCATCACCTCACACGTAAAAAACTCATTCCAGTTTATAGAGATCATAAAGAAACAAAACTTACAGCCCAGCGACCTACTAGTGAGCTTCGATGTCATATCCCTCTTCACCCAAGTGCCTATCAAAGAAGCCTTGACAGCTATTCAAAACAAATATAACCCCCCCAAACACATCTTAGATCTGACCAACCACTGCCTATCCAACACATACTTCATCTATAATGGACAAAAATACAAACAAACAGAAGGAGCACCCATGGGATCACCCCTCTCACCTGTCATTGCCAACCTCTACATGGAACACTTTGAAACCCAAGCTCTAGAAAAATCGGATCACAAACCCAAACTCTGGCTCAGATACGTAGACGACACCTTCATAATCTGGCCACATGGGAAAGAAAAACTGGACAACTTCCTCACACACCTCAACAGCCTACACCCCAAAATACAGTTCACCATGGAAACAGAAGCTAACAACCAACTTCCCTTCCTGGATGTCTTAGTCTACAAGAAATCCAATGGCTCCCTAGGACACACCATCTACCAGAAGAAAACACACACAAACCGCTATCTGCACGCTCTCTCACACCACCACCCAGCACAGATCAACTCTGTAGCCAAGACACTCATCTCCAGAACAAAACGCTTAGCTGACGAACAACACCTAAAACCCGAACTACACACTCTCACCAATGTACTAACATCCAATGGATTCCATAGAAATAAGATTACAAACCTAATCCAAAAAGAAACCCCCACTAAAATCCAAGACAAAGAACAAGAAAACGGCAAAGCCATCCTCCCATACATAAAAGGCATCACAGACAGAATCAGTAAGATCCTCCATAAACACAACATCAAAACAGCATTCTGCACAAACAGAAAAATATCCACCATCCTTAGAAACCCCAAAGATAAAATTGAATTAGAAAATCAAGGAGTATACGAAATCCCATGCACCACTTGTCCCACCACATACATCGGACAAACCAACAGAAGAATAAGTGCACGCATTGAAGAACATAAGAACTCAGTCAAAAAAGAGGAACCAACATCTTCCCTGGTCCAACACCTTAAAGCCACAGGACATGAAATTGACTTTAAAAATACCAGAACCATTGCCAAAAGTGAACATTTTAATAACAGAATAATCAGAGAAGCCATCGAGATAGAAAAACGCCCACACAGCATGAACAAGCGAGATGATACCTCCCGCCTACCAGCCATTTGGAAACCCGCCCTCATTGACAAACGACTCCCTAACACAAAAAATGATACCAGACCCACACTCACAAAAACCACACAGGATGTCACCACCAAACATCCACGCAAAAAACAAACCCAAAGCCACACTGACTATGAGGCACGACCACAAACCAGAAGCCAGACCACAGCTGCATCATTAGCCACTTTAAACCCCCCCAATCCATACATGAAGCAAACTGACACCCTCCATGAAGAGGAAGCACGACCACGAACGCGAA